GTAAACGTCCATAAATTTATTTTCATTAATCTGACATTTATTTTGAATTGTTTATTTCCTTAATTAACAAAGCATCCAACTTCAGGAGATATTTTTAAATAAACGATTAATTATATTTTCCAACAATTTTTTTAAATTTCTTAAGATTTAATATAACTCCCTTTTTTCTGTTCTTTTATGGACCTCTAATTATACAAAAATAAGCCTCATAGCCGTTACTAATATCCATACTTTCACAATACTTTAGCGCCTTTATTTCTATCAGTTAATATGCGATTATATCGCGATATTGTGTAAATTTTGTATATGCTAGAAGTGGTCTGATCTCGTTTTCGCAACTTGATCGTGTTGTTAGCGGAAACTGGTTTGACGCACTTTGTCCGCAGTCATCTGCTATAGCTGTTGTGACAATTCCTGGCATTGTATCGTGGACATGGTGCATTTTCAGACGTTGCGCCTAAAACGTATTCGGCATCATCAATGAGTCTTACTATTCTAAGCAGATTACGTTGCCGGAGAAGCGTACCGAGTCCATCTTCCAACCCTGAGAATTATCATAACTACTATAGCAGAGGACTTCGGACAAGATAGTTCAAATTTGGTCCCCCTGACAACCTAACCAAGCTGCGAAAAAGAGGTCAGACCACTTCTGTGAATCGAAAGGATACTTCGACTAAAATAGAGGCCACAGCATCTTGGTCTTTACATCATCCATTTTTTATGCTGACTAATATTTTATCTATTTTGCATTTTTATCGTTGTTTACATCCGATGCTTATGTATCTGTGGGCACTCATCTCCCTTATTTTCGTCAGCAATCATATTATATTAACAATGCTTTATAATTCAAATAATGAATCTCATACATTTAAGGATTCTCCATGTTCGAATGTGTTTTTCATTTCTCTTCTTCATAAATGTTATTGTGTATTTATATTTTGACAGATAAATAATTTTCAAACTTTTTCGTATAAGCTCATTTTTAGAATTTTTCGTCCTTAACCTGTATTTAATTACCAACAGATGATGAGAGGGATTACTTCAGCCTCAGCCTGATCTAAGTTGCGTTGGAGTTTTAAAGCCCATACGATTTTGACTGCTTTACTCTTCAACAATTTATCCTATTCTAAAACTAGGCAATGCTTCCCTTAACTGACAAGCCGCTGGGCTGCACTGAGATGAGAAATGACTTGGGCTAGTCGCGAAGCTCTTGATTAAGTATGATTGATGCTGCTTCTGTATATTGGTAGGCAGAATTGGCAAAAAGATTTCTGGTTTGATACCAATTGTTGAAGTTGTGTTCAAATGTCTGGATGCCACTAGTTGCATTTGGGCGACTAAATGGTTTAAGATTGGATTCTTCCGAGGCAAAGTTTTGCTCTAATATTGAGGTACTATGTCAAGATAAATTGCGGTGGCATCGCCTCTATCGCTGATTGAGTCTGCCTGGGTTTATATGAGTACAGAAACATCCGACTTCTCCCAAGATCTCAGACCTAGTTCGCACATTTAATGTATGTCCTTTCCGATTCTCATCACTATTTATTTGAGCCAGAACAATTTTTGACTACAGCAAAAATTTCCCTTTTTAGCCCACAAGAGTCGATATTTGTTTGAGTAAAGCCAAAATAGATATCATCCATCCTAGTTCATTTAGAGCCTTTCACAATTAAACCCATATTGGCTATTTGGTTTGGAATAATCGACAATATTTTTGGATCTGCTGCTTAACCTTTCTGATTAAAAAGTAGAAAATTGCTATCAATACTCTAAGATTTCCCATCATTCTCAATTTCAGAACCATCTTCGATGCATCCCGACACCACTGATCTTCTAGTCGAAAGCCCTCAATTTTCTACCTCCATTGCAACTACCGTCTGCGATAATCATTTGATTCACTCGGCTAAAGCGCATCAGTTCGACAAACTTTCACCCAGAGACCCACCCTCTATGACCATTCCTTGCCTGGAGTCAGATTTAACCGAACTTAATTCTCCTCCTTCCATGCCAATGGCATCTTCTATGTCGCCTCTCACGTTCGTATCCAAGCGCCTTCTGTCTGATTTTATCGATTCATCGAATTTTAATAACGAGAAGCATCATCAGGGCAACAGTCAACATGGCCTTTTAATGAATCCAGGTCTCTCGCCAGTCTCCAGTCTTTTTCGAGCCTATGAAGAGGTGGCTACTCAACAACCGGGCCGTTTAACCCCACATCTCATGCCTGGAGTCGGTAGGTGTGCGTTCATGGATGACTCTATGGAACCAGAGGCCGAATCTGGCCTCGGCCATATTGAGCCGAAGGTGCGTATTGGTTTTTTTTTATAAACAATTTTATTCACCACCTGATAATTTCCAGCATCGGACTGTTCACTTGGAACTTGTCCTTAATACTATGGCAGACGACTAGGTATGCTACACAAGATCTCTCTGTAAATCTGACAGTTGCGAAAATAAGTTAAAACCAACATTAGAGGTCTAAAGGAGACTGTGACCAAATGTAAGGCCATGAATATTTAGTATTCATGTCTACAAGTTTATTCAATTACATCATTAAATATGGAGCTAACTATTATTATTTGGTAGTCTTGGCCAAGAGCTAGTTGAGAATAGACTAGAGTTGTATCGCCGTATTGACTTAAGGTCATCATGGCTGCATGTGTACCATAGAAAGTATGGGCTGTCCAGTCCATGTAAACTATCATATAACTCTGTCACTAACTGTTCTAGAATAACGTAAAGTTATATTGAGTCTTCCAAAATCCGTTTTCCTCTGAATGAAATTGTGTTCATTATAAAATTGATGACCTTTTCGTTTATATTTTGTGATTTGAGGTCATAAGTTAAAGAGCCAAACCCGCTTCGAGGGAGTTTCTTTGTCACTTTGAGGATTACGAGTAAGAACAGATTGTAACGCCTTTGAACAGTACCAGAATGATTTAAGTTTTAACAAGTTTGACCAATTTTTAAAAAAATAACTTTTTGTTACTACTTGATGTTATCGAGTTTGAAGCTTATTTTTCTACCTCATTCTATTA